TGTGTGTGTGTGTGTGTGTGTGCGTGTTCGCAGCGAGCCCCAGTGTGATGGCGTCTGGAGTCACGGGCAGTGTGTCTGTAGCGCTGCATCCGCTCGTGATCCTGAATATCTCCGATCACTGGATCCGGATCCGCTCGCAGGAGGGACGAGCCATGCAGGGTACGTGTGTGTGTGTGTGTGTGTGTTGAGAAATCAGACACATCCAGAGGACCGAGTCTGTGGCATGTTGTCATGTAGTAATCATTCGTGTGTTTGCAGTCGTCGGCGCTCTGATCGGAAAACAGGAAGGCAGAAACATCGAGGTGATGAATTCATTTGAGCTGCTGTTTCACACCGTAGAGGATCAGATTCACATCGATAAAGAGTATTACTACACTAAAGAAGAGCAGTGTGAGTAACACACACACAAACACTAACATTTACGCTGTCTGTAGTGATTCCTAACGTGTGTGTGTGTGACACTGGTTTTCCTCCGTCAGTCAAGCAGGTTTTTAAGGACATGGAGTTTCTGGGCTGGTACACGACTGGCGGCACTCCGGACCAATCAGATATCCACATTCATAAGCAGGTGGGTGGGGCTGAGGATAAACTCCTCCCATCAGTGTGTTGTGTCGTACTGAAGGTGTGTGTGTTTTTTGTAGGTGTGCGAGATCATCGAGAGTCCGCTGTTCCTGAAGCTCAATCCCATGACCAAACACACCGACGTGAGTCACACACACACACAAACACACTCTCACACACACACTCACACACACACACACACTCTCACTCTCACACACACATTCACTCACACACACACTCTCACACACACACACACTCTCACACTCACACTCACACACACACACAATCACACTCACACACACAAACACACTCACACAGGTTTGTTTTTGTGAAAAGTGGGGACTCTCCATAGGCGTAATGGTTTTTCTACTGTACAGACCGTATATTCTATTGCCCTACACCAACCCTACCCCTAAACCTACCCCTCACAGGAAACTTTGTGCTATTTCAGATTTTCAATACACTCCATTCTGTGTGATTTATATGCGTTTTGAAAAGTGGGGACATGGGGTAATGTCCTGAAAAGTCACCTTCTCCTTGTAATACCTATGTAATACCCTTGTCATTATACAAATTTATGTCCTCATTTGTCACAAAAACTTGCGCGCACACACACACGCACTCACTCACATACACTCACTCTCACTCTCACACACACACACTCTCTCTCTCTCACACACACACTCACTCACACACACACACACACACACACAC